AAAAAAGGCAAGATCCTCAAAGTTGCCGTGAATATCCCCAAAGACAAAAGTGGGTGCTACCAAACGTGGAAACAGCGGCTCCGACTCAAAAATCGGCCGGGCCTGCGCCAAAACCTCCCTACACAATCCTAAGAACTCCTGCTTGGCCTCCTCCGTTTGATAAAACGAAAAGCATCCATTCACGTAACTACGAAGAATTTTTTGATGTGGCGGCTCCTTTATGCGTATGGCAGGCGGTGGTCTTCTCAGTGATGATCGTATTCGGTGCCCATCGGTGCCCCCTCCCAATAAACACGACGCAGGAAGCGAAATGGTTCCGACGTCCCTTCCTTGTAGTTTGATGGCCGCGAAGGTCTTGGGTGTCGCTACCCCATCCAGTGTGAACGTGATCGTCGGCGAACTAGTTGCCGACCCCTCTTTGCCACAGCCGGCATTCAACTCGGAATCCTCCTCGTTTTCCGGACCTGTCGCCAAAGTGAGTTCTGGGAGCCGCGGTACACATAACGGCGCGGCGGTGGGCCCCAAGCAAGGTGTATCGGCCTCTGGCGGCTCTGCATCCTGCGCTAGTAGTAGTTCCTTGAAGGTTCGATTGTACGACAATCCACTACTCTCCACACAACGGACATGAGGATTCAGGTAAAGCGTACTTCGATACGGCCAAAGATAAAATTTCCCTTGATTTCCTACATCACACTTAGTTACTATCAAGTGTTGCTCCATTCGACTTTGACTGCGCCTCCGTCGCCGGCGTTGTTGCTGTCGCCACCACCACCACTGTCTTCGTCGCCTCCTCCCGTCCCCGCGCTGTGGATCGGCATCAGCTGATGATTTCATAGGAATAATACTTGCAGCATGACTGGCATCCTCATTCTCACAGATGACATTTTGGCCATCATGCACATTTGCGGCCGCATTCATAGGGCTGTCCACTCTACCAGTGGTGTTTGTGGGGTTGGCATTATCGCTGAGAGCTACCACCGTGGGAGGCCCTTCATCCTCGTTAACCCCCGCCATGAACACACGCGAGAGACATTGTGGGTGTGATGGCGCCATTCTTTGCTGCTGTTGCTGTATCGGAGGCACGTTCGCCGTTGCCGAAGACGCCATTCCGCCGCCGCCGCCGCCGCCATGGCACATCCTGCACCCTCTGATGTTGCCACCACCGCCATGGCCATGACGCGGACCACCGCTGTGGCTCTTACCGTTGGTATGACTGCTAAGATTCACCCCCTCCGCGCTCGGTTCAGCCGCAGACGCCCCGCCATTGCTTTTCCTAAGCGTTGGATTCATCAACAAATGTACTGCGTGTGTGTACAAAAGCAAAATATATATATATATATATATCCCTTCACCCACACAACACACACAAACTCAAGAGATGAATGAATAAACAGGGACGGGTAGATGGCAAGGAACAGAAAGACACAAAGTAATGTCGACACGCAGTCAATATATATTTATATTTATTTATTTATTTTATTGTATTGTATTATTATTAAATCTTCTGATGCGCATTTTCCCTCTGATTCCACCCCTCGGACTTCTTTTCCTCCCTAACCTTATTTCTCAATCCTCTTTCATTCCCTCCTGGCGGCCCCTTGTGGGCAACATTCTTGTGATCCCTCCCTCTTCCTGTGTGAATTCCGTGGCAGTGTCCCGTTCTCTCTCTCTCTCTCTCTCTCTGTGCGC